AGGAGGTGTTTTTGTCAGTGTCTCAGTAATATACAATGAAAATACTTATGTAAAGTACAAGTACCTCAACATTTTACTTAATTACAGTACTTCAGTAAATGTACTTAGTTACTTACCACACATCTTAACCAAAATGTATGTAAGAGAGTAGACAAAACAACTTGATAATTTTATAATGAACACTTTTATACTTAAGAAAACACAATAAAGAAAACCAAGAAGCAATAATAAAAATCTGTTGATCTGGAATTGAAGCTGCTGCTTTAGCAGACGGACCAGTCCAACTGTTCATTCAGCAGGGTGTTCTGGGGGCCATGGCTCTTGGAGGCGATGTATTTGGCGTGTTGAGCCTCTGCTTTAAGCCGGCTTTTCTCCCGCTTCTTCTCATGGTTCTGCTGGTACTTTCCAACCCAGTGTCCAACTGACAGTCTGTCGGGGTCTCTTTGACCTCAGCTGTGTTTCCTTTGGATAAAAGAAGATCAAAGTTTACTTGCATGTTAATTAAAAATGTTAACACAAGGTCACAGTAGAGGAATATGAAACCCAGGCTTGTGGAGTTCCAGATAACATAACGATATTATTTAATCATGATACATGAAAAATAAATCTTTATTCTATTACAATTACATTAAAATAATAAGTGATCATATTACTGCTACATTTAAAAATAAATAAATAGAGAGATTACAAGCAGGATCACAATCTTACAGGATATTTTGAAATAAATATCGATATGATAGGTAAACGTAGTAAAATAATTGTATTTCTGGTTTATATTTAGACTACTTTAATTCATCTTTATTTTAAATAAATGTTTTGATGCAGTAGGTAGACACCTGATTTCTTAACTAAAAATACAGTCTATACTTTTGATAATTAAAGTAGGCTTAAAGAGCATTTGTTTACTGTTACTACATTTTTGATCTGAAATATCTTAGTTTCTCTTTTCTAAGGTGACATTGTTACATACGCTTAAGTACAAATGGTCTTATTGTAGTTTGTTTTCTCTTGTTTTTATTTGCATTGCTCTTCATATTTAAGTTATTCAAAAGTTAAAGAAAGTAATCAGGTTACATTACTTTTGTATTTTGATACTCAGATTAAGTTACTGATCACATATTTGATCGTGTAACGATTTTTAAAGTAACCCTCCCAACCCTGATGATGATACATACCATCAGACTTTGGGTTTGGCTTCGCAGGATGGAGGCGATAGTTGGAGTTATCCTTGACAGGCCTACTGTCCATTGCTTTCTCTGCAAGCCAGTTGTTGTAGACACTTTTCTTGTTCAACGCTTTCTTACTAAAGAAAACAAAGAAACAAGGTAAATAACAATAACATGAAATCTGTTAGAAAGTGGACTTGAGGCTGTTGTTTTTAGCATGCGGACCAGTCCAACAGTCCATTCAGCAGGGTGTTCTTGGGGCCATGGCTCTTGGAGGCGATGTATTTGTCGTGTTGAGCCTCTGCTTTCAGCCGGCGTTTCTCCAGCTTCATCGCATGGTTCCTCGCCTGTTTCATCGCACGTTTCATCACATGGTCCATCGCATGGTTCATCGCATGGTACAGTCCAACCCAGTGTCCAACTGACAGTCTGTCCTGCATGCACAGGGTCTTTTTGACCTCAGCTGTTTTTCCAGCTGTTTTTCCTTCAGATATTAGAAGATAAAAGTGTATTGCAAAAATTGAACAAAAGGCCACAGAAGAGGAAAATCACACACAGGCTTATAGAGTTTCAGATTACATGTGACGACATAACGTTGTCAGGATAATCAGAGTAATCAGATTACTATTACATAATAAAACATAGAGATTACAAACAGGATTACACTGTTACAAGATATTTTGAAATAAAGCTCGATATATTATAGGTCAACTGACCAAATACAGTTTGAAATCTGTTGACACAATACATTTAATTAATGTCAAAGTTTCATTTCTTTCACTGTAACGGATTACATTTTAAAAAGTAACCCTCCCAACCCTGATGATACATACCGTCAGACTTTGGGTTTGGTTTGGCAGCAAACAGGAAATAGGTGGAGTCATCAACGACAGGCCTACTGTCCATTTCTTGCTCTGTAACCCAGTTGTTGTAGAGAGTTTTATTTTTTCTCTCAGGTGACTTCAGGTCAGGGGTCAGGCTATCTGCCTCCTCTCGCCTCTTCTCTTGCTCTTCATTCAGTGCGATGAAATTGTGAGTTGGGGTTTTGACTCCCTTCAGCATCACCTGTTGCCACTGAAGCCTCTCTTGCTTCAACTGGTTTTCCTCCTCCTGCCTCCTCCTGTCTTTCTCCATGGCTGCTTTCTTGAGACTTTCTGTCACTTTTTGAGTCTCTTCTCTGTCCCTCTCACTTTTTGCCAAGGTCTCCAGTGCAGCTGTTTGTCTGCGCTCCATCTCCACTGCTTTGAGCTCCACATACATTTGTCTTCTGACATCCACCTTTCTCTCCTCNTCTTGCTTCAACTGGTTCTGCTGTCTTTCCTTTGGGTCCTCCTGCCTCCTCCTGTCTTTCTCCATGGCTGCTTTCTTGAAACTTTCTGTCACTTTTTGAGTCTCTTCTCTGTCCCTCTCACTTTTTGCCAAGGTCTCCATTGCAGCTGTTTGTCTGCGCTCCATCTCCACTGCTTTGAGCCTCACATACATTTTTCTTCTGACATCCACCTTTCTCTCCTCTGGGGTCAGTTTGGAAAAAGTATGGACAAGCTCCATCTCAGCAATGAGGTGTTGTCTAGACTACATGTTGTCGTTCATAATTTGAACTTGTGCTCTCTGTGTAGGTTTTCTAATGCTTTCTCTCCAGCAGGTTTGTGTGAAATGACCAGCAGAGAGAGTTCCGTTGGTATGGAGATCCAGCAGAGTTCCGTAGTCATATGTTGTGAACAGGGACGTGCATAGACATTTTGAAGGGCTATTGCTCTAAACTGGAAAAAGGGCCTCCCCCCGATAAAAAACATAAGACCTTTTGAAAATTGTAACTTGTTTTTAATGTAAAAGAAACCAAACGATTATTACTGTACATCAACTAATTTGAACAGTAATTAACATCTCATAACAAAATAAGCTAATATTGACTACTTGCATTCGGCGACTTGATTTAAAAAATGCAAACCAGGGACATTTTTTGTTTTGCGGTCCATATCTCATCAAAAATATCTAATGTTAGTAACTATTAAAGACAA